ACTACCTAGACCATACGACTCAGATGACAAAGTCCTGGTTCTTACGCTGTAATCGGTCGAATTTGCCTAGTATTGGTAACTGGTTGCAGGCTCGCAGCATCTCCATTTATTTTCCTGCCGGTATTTTGTTCCAATATTTACCCTGTTTAGTCTTTTTGCCTGATTTTTGTCAATTAAATGTTATATATCGTGCCTGGAACATTTGGAAACAATATTCAACATTTTAAAATATGAGTAACTATGTTAAATAGCAATGTGCAAATTGTAGGGGCAGACTACTTTAGTCGGCTTTGGTTTGCCTACCACCAAAATGATGTTTTTGTCCGTTTTTCCATGCCTTAGGAGATTGGTCATATAAAGGAACTTTATTCCAAAAGTAGTTAACATCACGTTCATGAACGCTAATTCTCTCTCCGTCCATCAAATGCGCCCAACTGTACAATCTCAAGAATGATTCTTTAATGGTTTGCGTTCAGTTTTAATAAATAAGTAGTGCCATACTGCCACATCATCGGCAAATACTAGCAACTTGTCCATGGATACAAATGTTCGCTATAGTCGGAACTGTCCGTTGTCGAAAAAAAATCCAAAAAGTACAGTTTGATACTCAAATGGAGGTAGTGGATCCGAAGGCAATGGCCAGTTTCAAAGTATCTATGGAGAATATGTGTCCTGCTCGATCCAATTAATTACGTTTAGGATATTTTATGAATAGGGTGGGTCAGTTTATTATCAAACAACTTTCAGCCTTATAAACCTAAAGATAGTTAGCGCGTAATGTTAGCAAGATATTGCAAAAACTGGTCGCAAATTAATCTGAGGATATTTGTAAAGTCTCATTCGAATTCAGCCTTTATCCTGTGTTGTCTTATATTTTACGGTCACTTTTAGTGCACCTGAAAGTTTAATGTAACTCAGCATTTCAGTCATTCGTCCTCTAGCCAATAAATGGAAGGCGAATTCGTTGAGTGTAAATCTAGTAATCTGTTGATACATCCACAGTCTACATCGAAAACACTAACTATTGATACTTTCCTGATAACCAGGATTGCAACACAAACATTTGTTCAGACAATTCTACTCCATTAATTTTATTCATTTACCTTCAGTGGCACACGACTACCACTCGGTTAACTGTTCAAGAATACCGTATTTCGAAAATCGAAAAAAGGACTCCGGCGAGCTGAAACCGACCGAGAGCATCCTCTGTAAGTACCAAAATGTGTTTTTAACGAGGTTTATTTATTTTTATGGCGCTAGGCGTTTGTAGCTGTTGTCGACAGTCAATAGTTTGACATATCATAGAATATAATGCGAGACTGACTTATCATACGCAACGGAGATTTTCAAAAAGCATCCTTTTGCGAAAACTTCTCCCATATTCAGTAATCACTGCTTTCGCAGACGACCCCAAACGTATCTGGCGAAGTAATTAGATTCGATTTGAAACAAATACATCAAGATAATAAGGAGCTCATCTTTTAAAACTACGGAAGACGTTGCGCCGAAAGCGCAGTTAGAAGACAGGATCTTGACATGCGTTAGTGCGTACAGTGGTAACGGCGTGTGCAAGTTACTCAACTCGGTCTTTTGATTAATGCTCGATTGCAAGCGTCAGCAAATTCAGTTTTGCTGTCACTATAACCTCTTCCTTACTGGCGTAAAATTACGGCTAATCTACCATTTATTTTTAATCGAATGAGTATTTATCCATTTCTCCATCAGTATTGCCTTCCACATCAATCAACTTGACTAGTCAGGGCACGAAGGGTTTTGCGATTAACTTAAAGGCTGGCACCTTCAAATTTCCCGTTATTATGCTAATTTACTTATAAGGGAAATTTAAAATAGGCGTAACCTCCAGGGAAATAATCAAAATTCGCACGCTTTAGAACCCAAAGCAGACGGAAATAAGTGAAAAGCAAACGAATAAGCCGATAAAGAGGAGAGATAATGCGGTGAAGCGATGAAGCAGGGGAAGAAAAATAGCAGCGAACCCATAAGGTTGCATGGCACTGGGACTGGAGATAGGCCGTCACACACTCTAATTTATTAAACGAAAAACCTTTAGGGTAACTTTGCTCATGCAAATCGTCAGACTTCTTGTTGTAAATTTCAAATATGTTGTTCCGTTTAAGGTCACAGACCTATGGGCTGCATTTGCAAACATGTGCCTGAAAGACAGCCTCTAACAGGACAGTGTAACAGAATGGTGAAATTTTGGCTCTTTTTTAAAACAATCCTTTAAGAATGCGGACGTCAGCAAATGAGCTTTTGTCGTTGCCTGTCGTTCAAAACAATGAATACGAGCTCGTCAAATGACTCCCACCCATCAGGTTGAAACTTCAAACAGAGAATGGTTGCTAACTTCTAATTGGTGTCCTACAGATGCGCAATAATTTAAAGTTTTCGATGCATAGAGGGCACTGGGTCTGTTGGAGTAATGCTTGTTCATCATATGTCGACTGCATATGCCAGGCATCATTTCTATTTGTAACGTATTCAGCTCATACCCTCTGGCTGATTTTGAACTCTCAAGTAAGATAACTTTATGCACATTTTAGAGTTACGAATGTTCCCATGAAAGTGTCCGAAAGACCAGTTGCTCACTAACTAGCCTTCTATTTAGGCACATTTATTAAAACACAAGTTAACCATATCTATGACTACGCTGGCATCTGGGCACCACAATTCGTCCTTACAAGGGACAAACATCCGCAAAGGCCTAAGAGCACGATGGAAAAATTTTGATTTACTAAAATTACCCTCAAGCAACTGCATACGGCCGATTTACAACTTCAGCTTCAATTTATTCTCTGACCCCTGCGTTCTTGTGTAATCAATTCTCACATATATTCACTTGTGCAAATTATTCTCACGTGCAAGGATTAGCAACGAAATTTCTTGACGCAGTTTCTTGAATCTAGAAGATGCTATCTGAGGTCATCCATAGGCTTGGATCATTCGACACTTCATCTCGGACAACCAATCGGGGATAGGCTGGTTAAGCCGGATGACGCCTTTTAACGTCATTCTCGAGCGAGAGCTTTTACCCGCGGTAGCATAAATAGGCAGATAGGTCTTTAAAATGTTGCCAAGGAAAGGCTGATTTTGGCAGTATTCTGTCTTCCTAAGTGTTACAAACTGTCTTCTTTCGTAATCCATATAACTGCAGAGGAAACCTCTCTTGGTGCAATGTTTTTCGATTCAAAGTTTATTGGTACGCGGAAAACAAAGTCAATAGGTCAGACCTTTCTTGTAAGGTCAAAAAATTTATCTCGAGACAAGTTTGAACAAGCAAGCAGACAAATGAACACTCAATAAAGTTACAAATATAAAGCTTGTTAAGCAGAACCCTACTTCTTTACATAGGGTTGGCATTTTAACGGAATATAAGGGCTACTGATAGCAAAGAAGTGTAAACATGTCAAAGGTTTCAATTACATTACTGAATTTAGTCAGCTATGTTACCTGGAAAAATTGAATTTTAACTGGCTTTATTTCTCTTTTGATACTTTATTATCTAAAAAACTCCTCCGGAATAAACTACAGGACACGGTGTTACCCCTGATTTTCTATTGTTTAACGCTTCTCAGGTCGACGGAGTATGCAATCAGGTCACGACCGACGAAACTCATAAAATAACTGAAATCCTACGCTCTGTTATAACGCAGGCCCATCATGTTTACCTATCGTCGTTTGTCCAGTAAATAAGTAGTCTTTGCGCACTCTCCAGTGAGCACGCGTCCTTCACTCCGAATAGTATATGACTTCACGATATTATCTGCCCATTTACAGTATTTGTTGCACCTCGGATACAGCTCTTCGTTATGAAGTTCATTTTTCCGAAATTTTGGCAACGAGGCAAATACTCGCAGCCCCACCTACCAATCGTATAATTCAGGTATTATCTGTTGCAGTAAGCATTTCAAAAAACTGCAAGAAGTGGAAGAACAATTCAGAGATTACTATTCTGATATACAGTTAAGCATTTCGGCCTTAACCGTTCCCTAACAAGGGAGGTACACTTGTGGTCGCTGCGGTTGAAGCTCCATGCAGTTTATGAACTGCGATCTTAATTTCGTTTTGAAAACTGGCATTAAACTAGACACCAGGCAAGATTAGCTGGGACGGGAGAAGAGTAAGTCCCTTATACACCCCGACAACCATTAAAGCTCGACCAAATATTTTAGTGTGCTTTCAAACTGGAGGACTTACATAGGTGAAATTGTAAAAACCACTGAGACGGATCGTAATCAGGCAGAAATCGCAAACAAGTTCATGATGGTTTTACCTTAAGTAGATTTTATTTCACCTTCAAGTTTCACAATCGTTCAACTGGTGGCAATTTATTTATATGTTTTCAAGGAGTTCCGATGCTCACAACTTCCAGTAACACTTTCAGGAAAAGATGCTCTTTTGTACACATTTTATTTCGCATTTAAACTGTGGAAGTGAAAACAAGAGGTTATGCTGGAAGCACTTTTATTTGTAATTGTGTAGTTTCAAATGCAACTTATATTTTCCAGTTTTCTTAAGCGTTGGGCATATTCGCTTTAAAATCAAAAAACGCATGCATCCACCATTATGAAGAGATCCCTTTCTTATAGTTTACATGGGTAACTGTAATGACGACTAACACAATGTCCATACTGTGCTGTGCGTGAATCGACAAGGTAGACGTTCAAGACTGTTTTTCCCCAGGTTATTTTCGTAATCTCGTCTGGGCAACTTTTTTCATCCTAAGGCCATTGAAAACTGCTGTTCATTGTTTCATTAGTATAAGTACATTCCGCTCTGTCGTGTGAAATACATACACTGCAGGAGCAAACGCTTATCCTGTTCATGTTAACTATTATCAAATCCATTTTTCAAAAAAAACACTTTTTCCATTAATGTCTGGTTTTCATGGCTTTCTTACGAACTTGTCTACTAATGGCAAATGCAATAAAAAAACGCGCATTATTACCCATTTTCCCTTTTTATCATAATTAGTTGATATGCGCCCCGCAGCCGTCTTCCCGCTTGCTGCTCTCATACTTTTGTGTGTTGGCGGTGTCCTGACTATCATGGGCCGCTGTGATCACCGGACTCAGAAGCTGGTCTTCATCGGTGGTGGAGCGAGCATCGTCAGTGGTATGTACCGATGGAAAAGCAGATTTCTTGCAGTTATTGCTCATCTTTCTTTTTCATCAGAAGTACATGCAACGGTGTGGATTAAATTGCGCTTGATAACTAGGCTGAAGCTGGTATATTAAAACAATCTTATGGCATTTTCATCACAGTCGTAGCCAAATTAGCTGAATTGGCAAGTAAAAACATGCAAAGTGCAAACGCACCTATTATGCAAAAGTCGAAAATGGAAAATGTAAAGATGCCGGATTTATTCATCGTATTTGGTTGGAACGCATTCCATAATATAAGACTTGTGACTGACTGGAATGCGCTCTGTTTGACTAACTCATAATATACCAGTAAAAGATGTGTTGTATGTATAATTCTTTAAATTTCACAAAATGCTCCGTGGGAAGCAAAGGAATTTAAAAATCTGAAAATACACGTCTGGGTGGATCTCTCCGTTTTGTACTATAAAGTGCTGTTGGTTGCGTTATACGCATTCATACCTATGACGTAAACATTTGGCTTCTGAATGCACACAATACTTGATATGCTATAGTTCTGTGCCGCCCAGCTCCCAAAATGTTGCCAACGATTGCGCGTGTTTGCATACTTTTTCCGAAAAAAGGAAACACACTGCATGAATTAGTTCGCAGTTTTACAAGGCTTCGGTATCCCCAGAGTAAGCGTTCTACTGACTCGCATACGTATTCTCCATTCTTGTTTAGTCTTTTTTGATTAGGGATTGTTATTAACACCTGATCTGACATCAGTATTAAGGTTTATTTCGTTTTTAAAAAACCTAGGTTTTAACCTCACGTTGCAAACTGTCGCTTTGGTTGGATTACTGATTTTTGAACATCCGAAAGACACAACGAATTCGTCTCTCTTTTTATCACAAATCTTGTCTCGAAATGTCGTAATTTTTAATACTCATACTTCCAACTAACATATGTGCTGCACGTTAAGCGCCTCTCCCTACTGCGTGTTCCCTACATTCCCCATTTGCATAACTTTTATTCTTTAGTCTATCATCCGGATAGGACTTTTGCAATCTGCTCTGTTTCCTTTAAGTCGTACCGCAAGTTAATTTTCGCCTTTAAATTAGTCACTAATGCGAGTGAACCATGTTTCACAAGCGTCCATTGGTTCCCACGTTTATTTTACCTACATAATCAATAAAAAATGCAGAAAGAAGGCAACAACTTCAGCCTCCGAGCTACGACCAAGACTTAGTATATTGACCCATACGATGGGCTGTTGTTGGCCTGGAAAATGGGCTGACCAGTAAGCCCGCTAGCCTAGAATCTCCTAATCCTCAATGCACAGGGCCGAGGAGGCGATCAGACCAGAGACTGAATCAGCGAGTCACTAGTGAGAGGTGGCAGGGTGAGAGAGAGAGAGAGAGAGAGGGAGAGAGATGGCTAAACCGCATCGGCGGACAGGCACTGAAGAGAGGGGGCGCTTGCGTGTGTCTTCAGGGAGCGGGAATGGCAGAGGCGGTGTGGGTGAGCGGGGTGAGTGGATTAAATGAAGTGGAATTCATTGATGAGCAGCAGCGTTATTAGCATCAAAAGCAAAAACCGACCAGCAAGAAGCGAACCACTGTTGCGTTAACCAACCTATAGACGTGCGCAAGTGATGTGGTTGTTATACGTTTCCTCTGGGGGGAGTGCATTAAAAAAATGGAGGGATGTAAGAGCGCAAGGTTTCACTGCGATCGCTGAAAGGTAGACCCACCACTGCGAGATTATCTTAGCCAATTTTTTGAGCGACGCTGGCAAAACTGAGCAGAGTGCAATTTATTCGTTAACGCGGTTCCGAAAAGACTACGCGGGATCGATAAATACGCATAAATTGTAAAAACCCAGGTCTGTCAGTCGGGATCCTTTTCTATTACGTAACTGCCGTTATAATTTTGCCGCCGAATCCGCTCAAAGGTTCTATGATCCACTGCTGTGGCAAAAGAACAGTTAAATTAATCACTGGTATCATCTCGAGTATTCCTCAGCGAGAGCTACACACTAAGTGCTTCTCAAGAAACTGAAAATGCCTTTCATATATTTTCAGGGTCAGTTATTGCGATTTTAGGTGTTTGGCTCATAAGTTGTCCCCGGACTGCGTTTGCTCGTATATACCCCGGTTCAGGTGAGAGAATTTAGAAGTTGGCCAGAGGAATCCGAAGGAATTTGAGGAACTGTATTCTTAAAAGTAGAACTGAAAATCTGACGAGATGTCCAACAAAAGAAGTAGAGGTGATCGGTGGAGCATCAACTTTATTCACCTGAAATTTCGGATTTTATGCTCGAACCCATCTCCAGTGGCTATATCAGATGCGGGCAATTAATATAAGTGGGGGTTCAGTACTCATGCGATTCAGTCGCTGTATTATCGCATACCTATAACAGTGAACGGCCCCCTCTACATTAACAGTGGCTACGATAATGGCTTGATGTCCGGCATTAACGTCGTTGATTGTTGCCATTTCATCGCGAGAGGTGACAGTCGCGAAAGTCACGAGCTGCGTGAGCCATGGTTAACTAGCTTTCAGGACAATGACCTGTCCCCTTCAAAATCAGTGCTAAGACTGAGTCTGGGCAGAATGATTAGCCAGGGGGCGGAGTGCGCGGGCGAACATTGTATTCAGCGCCAGTGTCGGTGGCTGAAATGGCCGAGGCATTACCACGCCGACATTCAACACGGGTGGCGAAATCGCGGAAATCTACGACTCGAAGGCTGGTATCCAGGCCATTATCGCACAAATAACAACCATCTTCAGTGAAGGGACGTGTCGCTAGTACTGATAAGTATGCGATGACCCAGCTCCTGCATCCTATAAACACTGCAACCCACTGTTCATGAAATGCCCGTATCTGATGCCGTCTCTGGTGATCGGTTCGCGCATGAATTCGAGACTTAAAGTGAATAAAGTCCTTGTTCCAACGATCGAATCTCCTCCTCAACCGCTCCCTTTATAATGTATATAGAGATGCCTGCCCCATGTTTAGGCCTACAAGTACAGCATCAGATACTCGAATGTGAATGGTTTCGGATGAGTCAAAGCTTAACAGGAAATTAGGGAGCGAAGTGTAGTATATCACTTTAGACACTTGTTCCACTTGTCTATTTATCATTCATAAGTACAGAGGAAAGAATGCAGCACATGGAGGCTAGGATGCGGACCTATAACCCAACCGACGAGCTACGTAATTTCATGTATCCAACGCAGTCTCGATTTCTTTGATAAACGTGACTGGGTGTTAAACAACTGCACTTTTTCCATGGGAATACTAAGGGTGCTCCACTTTCAAGTGGATACATTCGGTTTAACGTATTTCACGGCCAAGTCATGCGAACGAGGATTTCAGTAAAGCCCTTTAGGTTAAAGTTTGGAAGCTCTTTGCAAAATACGCTCTTATGAGTACGAGAGAAGTTCAGTGACTCCATCAGCTTTCAAACTCGTAAAGTGACCGACTGGACAAGTCCACAGTGAGACAACGTTATGTGGATGGCTGTTTTATATCGTTACCCTGTTCCAGCTCATGGATATTGCAAATACCCATATACTTGATAAAGAATTGTGTGGATAGGGCCTTACCCTCTGTCCTAGATAAAATTATGAATTGAGCACCTATCTGAGTTTCATTACGAAATGTCAGTGTTACTTATAATTACGGTTATCGTCCCCACTTACCTCCGTTACTTTCCCGCATGGTCAGTTAGGCATACGTTCAAACGGTTTTCAAGTCAAGGACACACAGAAATGCATGTCTTAAAGGGCTTTGAGAAATATTACTGACGCATGAGACAAACAAAAATTTTGCATAGTCTTATGAGAACAGGATGCACTGTTATGGGAACTTTCAGCTTTTATTAATGGTATGGAGGCAAGACAAAAGAGAAAATATGACTGAACTAATTGCACAAGAATCTCCCCCTATCATTATTGACAGTAGTCTGGTTAAGTTACAGCAGATTCTGCTATTCAAATAATTCTGGGAAAACGGTAGGAATGAGTTTACACAGATCTGATATCATAAATTAAGCAAAAAAGCCACGTTTCCATCAAGGCCTGCTATGATGTATGTTGGATGAAGACCTCGATCATTCCGTCAGGCAAAGTTTGCGTAGAGTCCCATAAAACAGGAGTGAATTGCTAATGAGATAAATTTCGAGATTTAGGTGGCTGGCGTTTGTCTCGGAGTCTTTGACCGCCTTTTATTTATATTCTCAACAATACACTTCTATCGTGAACGTGAGTGTTGCTCTTAAATTATGCTAAATACCTGTATGTATACTGTTTTTAGGCATTCTTACACTCATTGGTATCGTGCTGTATGTCGGAAGTGTAAGTCAGGCCTTTGATGCTATTACCGGGCCTATTACAATTGAGACCAAGTATGTCTATTTCTACGGCGCTGCCCTTCGTCTATGCATCGTCGCATTTGTCCTCAGTGAATTTTCTGGAGTCTTCGCCATCTACCTCTTCCTTGCACAAAGGAGACATCAGAGCCAGGCGAAAATCACCTGTCCGCAAATTACTGATAACAAAGCAATGTTTACTCAAAACCACAGAGAATATAAGGTTCGCGATTGTCTTCTTGAAACAGTCCCAGTTGGTGGAGACTCAGGCTACTTCGCGAACAGTATTTCTACTATCGGTTTGTCGCCTTCCCAATTAGCCATGACAACTACTTCCTTTGCTCAAGCCTCCCTAACTGACAATGTAGTTTCAGCTGAAAATCAGTCGAACTCCAACCCCCTCGCAGCACCTTACTCAAGGACCAGCAGTCAGAAAACACTTTCAGGTCTCCCATATAGCTGTCGCCGAGTGTCGGACAACAAATCGCCTCGAATAAATCATGCTACTGGAGATGCCATCCGAGTCAAGGTTGTACCCCACCCAGCTTCCAAAGTCAGTCGAAGTGAGCTCAATTCCACCCAGAGCGTTCGGTCTCTAAATGTGATCAGCTTACCTAGTAGTCATTCGTCAAGTTCCCCCAGTTCTATTTCATCCTCCACTTCACACTCCCAACAATCCCCGATATCCCTGTTCCCCATAAACAAATCGAGTCGAAAGATTCCATTGAAGCGTCGGAAAATTGCCCCCGTGAATTGCTCGACGACCAGCCTTCGTTGGGTTGATGAGAATGGTAGACGGCCTAGCGGAACTCGCAGCGCCATCATTATAAGTAGTCGAGCAAACAAAGGTGATGAAACCATACAAGATTCTCAGTGGAAGAAACCACGACCCGGTACGGAGACCGTGACTCGGAGCTCTTGTCGGGACTGTGAATTACTGCAGTACAAACAGTGGCCCGTCACAAATAGAGCTATCCCAACCAGCACTGCTAGTTCGAGTGTCGGACGACCCAGACTTTCTAGCACCATTGTTCTTACGGCCTCTGAGGCCGAAACTTCCAGCAGTTCCACTTCGCGCTGCGATCGTCCATTAGAAAGTCCGAGTATGGAGGCCGAGTATTCCTTCGACGATAAATCGTCCTCCCGCTGCGGACTGGATAGGAAGTATTGCTATGATCAGTCCCCTGCACATGCCTTCCAAGTATCCGCTGACCGAGGTAAACCGAAATCCAGTCATCAGAGGCGTCATAGCAGCCTTGAGGTCTCTTCGTCTCTCCTGACTGTGCAAAAGTCTTCCGATGAGAAACCTGGAGGCGGAAGCACTAGTCAAAGCAGCAGTGCTTGCAGTCACCCAGAGGAGTGCTCTGCGCAAGGGGCACCCGCACCATCTACCTCAAACTCGGAGTGGTACCTGAAGCGTTTCATCACACCAACTAGTACTGTCGGTCCCTCGCCAGACTCAGAGGCTTGTCAGTGCATTGTAAACCCTCCTAAACTACTGCCCTGGGGGCCCGAGTGCAAGTACTCTGCCTGCACGTCTTCCGGTGGGACCAGGCTTCCGCCTTCACTGCTCTCCCACCGAGGCTCATATGCTCCATTCAGTTTCCTCCCGTCAACAAAGGTTCCCACTGAGACCACCTGTCACCCGCAGGGTCGACGTGCTCCGGCCGCTGATTCCTCAAAGTCCTCGGCGAAACAAGCACATCATCAGAAAATCACGCCCGTGTAGCCAATTTCGAGCGTGTGTGTGTATACAAGTGCATCTAAAAGCCTGCAGCTGCCTGTTTATAGTGGGCTCGAGGCTTGTTAAGTTCATTTTGTGTTTTCCTCTGCTGCCTAGAAAACATTTCTTAATGGCCTTATTCCCCGTCTAGTTCATATAGTTAGAGATTTTTCAACGTCCTTCTCATCCTTCCTGCTCATTGAAAGCGCGTGTATGTGCGCACACTTATGCCTTTTACTGATTACTGAATATATTGAAATGTGCAGACGAAACTCTCCAACCCTCATTTAACAGAGTGCAAATGCGGGTAAAGGGTGACCTGCTGTTGGGAAAGATACAAGATATCAATAGCTTTTTATGATTACTTAGTTCTCAACTCCCTTCTCTCCCCTTCTGCTTGTTTTCGTCTTCAATTCGCCCACCGAATTCCTGTGTTACGAAGCACCGGCTTAGTATCGAAGGTGACTACCAGTCATTCTGCAAACATTTGCTACTCCCATGCATAACACAAAGCCGGTGGAATTAATTTCTTAACTACATTCGCAAGAATACAACTCGCAGGGTCCCTAAATTTATATTATCCAGACGAACTCAAATAGGGCATAATAGAGGAATTTAAATGCAGTCTCCAGCTTATTATAGCTCGTGCACTGTGTTAGCAAGACAAATCAGTAGTGCCTGTCTGGTGAACTAGATTACGATTAGGTGGACCAGGACAACGGTTGGTATCCCCTTTCTTCTGTCTCACCCTTATGTTCCAGAGAGAAGACAGAAAACTGGGAATTTCCAATAGAAGCAAAGAGACGAGTCCCAGGAAGTAGTCTTGAAGAAGGAGACACGATCGCCGGGACAAGAGCTTTATTAGCCTGACGTTTCCGATTCCTACTCGAATCCATCATCAGAGACAGAAGAGCAGAAACGGGTGGTCTTTTGTCTCTGATGATGGATTCGAGTAGGAATCCGAAACGTCAGGCTAATTAGGCTCTTGTCCCGGCGATCGTGTCTCCTTCTTCAAGACTGGGAATTTTATTTGATGAAAAATCCCGCCAGGCGTATAACCTCCCCCTCACATATGCAAATCTCGAGTTATTTCCATTTGTCCTCCCCATTAAGTAATGTAGGAACTACAACTCGAGCTCGTAAGGGACGAGGTGACTGCAGCCGTGACTTGCGCGTAAAGTTGCTTGTGACGAAGCAGGCTCACGCTGCATCTGCCCCATTTCAATCTTCCCAAAGTTACCCTGTTCCGATGGCAGGAAAAAGTCAAGATGGACGGGAATTCAGTGGTTGCCAGAGCTAAGGAACCCGTCTGAGCGTACCACATAGCTTGACCACTACTACACACTTACCAGGCTTCACCGTGGAGTGTCTCAGATCCCCCGTATGTGAAAATGCAGTAAAGGCCACACGAAGGGGGAGTCAATGCAGTCTAATCCACAGATCTGATTCGGAGCGAGTTAGCGCGTCAGCGGACAGCTGCCCTAACCGCAAGCTTCGACGCTTAACTGTGCACTCAGGTGCGTCAGGTTTATTACAGTGAGGAATGCGGTGATCTACCGTGTGGGAGATTATCGCAGAAGCCTAGGCCGCGAGTAAGACCCCGGCTAACACGACCTTCAGGCCCGGTCCCGAATGGAAAGAGGAGATGGACGCCAGCTGCGAGGACTGTACATTCTGCACAAAACAACTAGAGGAGCGTTTGGAAATCGGCAGCCAGAGGCAAGTGCCTCTGGCGCCGGAGGGGCAGCGTTCCAAGTGTGGGTCAGGGAATGCGTCAAAGCGACTTGAGACAGGCCACGTTTAATTCGGCCTTGAATCTTATTGGTCGATTGGAAAGCCCAGTGGGTGAACGCCAGACAGCCCTGGTGTGCACGTCCAGACACTCCCGGGGAGCCAAGCGTTGAGACAGGCGTTCGGAGTAGAGCCATTACAGCATTATTCAGTGTTGGTCCAGCATTCGCCATCCCCTACCCCCCATATACCTGGGAAATGTCCGAAATTTTCATCAGATCTGTCTGGATTCGAATGTATTGATTGCAATCTCGACACAATGATTTTGAATGCGTTGTTCCTGTGGTTCTCTGTAACAGTGCATTCTGAAATGAGGAACCGGTGAGACAAAAATGGAAGAGTAGCCTTGATTGAGTGCGAACTCACAACCGGCTGGTAGATGGCATTGATTGGAACACATGGGTGCGTGCGACTAGGGGCACGTGGGTGAAAAATTACGCCGTAGTATTCAAATGACTGGGTGCCTCAGAAGGGGAGCTCATTACTCCCAAGTGTCCACGACAGGCGCATGTATGCGTTCTGCAGATGCTACTGGTTTTGCAATTAAGGCCTGTACCCTCGGAAAGCATTTGTTCATGCGCTCTGGTAGAATGCATAGCAGCAGTGCTCTGCGCATAGTGTGAGGATGAGTAAAACTCTGACAATGCACATTGCATTATGCAGACATCTAGAACCAAACTGGCTGTTTAGTCCTCCAGTCAACTGTGCCTGGCCTGACTCGGAGTATTCCCGCATACGTACTGCTCAACCTTAAGTACGCATGCTTCCATAATCGAAGAAAGAGTTGGCTGATAAAAGAAATCGTATGCTTTTAACATCAGAAGATACAGGCACTAGATAAACGCCCAGACATGCGTGTTTGACGATATTCTACCGCTGCAGGGCACAACCGCGAGGGTTTGACTCTTCAATGGGTCCCCAGCATTCGTCGTGTGCTTTTTGGTAGGCACTCCAGTTTAGAGACTTGCTTTTTAATTTCATCAAAAATTAACTGCTGTGCCTATAGACCTTCGTATGGAGTGATATACTCCAAGTTAGCAGTTAATTTCTGAGGAGGTTAAAAATAAATTGTATCCGTTACATTCAGCTAAGACAGAAGTAGCAGCACTTTGAGATGTCAGTTTGTAAAATATCGTTGTGTTCACGCCAAAGATGAAGAACATAAAGGAATCAGAAGAAAAACAGATTTGTTTTTTGGCTTACTTTCACGTCTCGGTCAACAAAACTGGCCTTAAGACAGTGAAAACACATGTTTCGAAATGGGCCAGTGAAAAGCGGTTACACAAATCTGGGATAGTTAACATGAGAGAGAGAGAGAGAGAGAGAGAGCGAGAGAGAGAGAGAGAGAGAGAGAGAGAGAGAGATAACGTAATCCAGCGAACTAAAAGCTATACAACCCGATAATTGCAGTGGAATAAAATTTTATCGCGTTACATGCTTTTGCCGGACTAAAAGAGCATTGGTTATAAATAAAATACTGTTTTGGACCAATAAGTGGAGATGTGCGGCCAAGTGAAATAGTCCGGCCTTTTCACCACATATAGCCAAAATGACGGTCCAGCCGTTTCTTCCGATGATGTTCATAGTGGGGTCCACAGTAGTGTGAGGGAAGGGACTGTGACGCGCTGGAATATGTTTGTAGGGATCATTGACTCGCTCAGCATCTACCGCACTCGCTCCTCCTCCACCTGGACCCGTTACCATGACACAGCCAAGGAGACCGAAGGTGAGAGAAGGCCCCGGTCCCACCGAGAGATCCCACTAGGTGGGAGTGAAATAGAGGCCACATTAAGGAGCAATTGGAGCCTGACTCTCAGTCCATAAGTAGGCCACTCAACACACAGACGCAAAACTTGGCTCACTACACGTTCCGAGTAGAATCGTTGGCCAGCAACATCCAAGTCAGGGTTTGTTAGCGCACCATGACAGTCTAGAGCGTGTTAGATCGGATATAATGAGGAATTATGCGCCGAGAGTCAACCTCACTACTCCTACCCTATCCTCTGCAACAGTCGGCCGTCCGAGCCGCTCAAAAATGGTGCTCAGACTGGGAGAGATGGCTTACAGAGGTGAGAACTGCTCTTCTCTATTTGCTACGTACACCGCCTGCCATTCACACTAGCACATCAGGACTTCTCACGCAGGGAGTGGTCTGCTTGGATCTCACGTGTACCAGAGAAGTCACATAGAGATGGGAGTCGAAGAATACAATCCCAATTACGTGAGAGGTGCCGGTGATGTGTTAAAATTGGAGGCGTTCGTGTGTAACGCATGTTTTGATGGGGACGTGTGTGTTGATGTGATCTAGTCTGCGAGGATCTCCAACAGATTTCCGTGGAGGCACACGTGACCGAGTAGACCCATTCGACGTCTGAATGGGTGAGAGAAATGATGGGATGATAGGTGGAGGGACGCTAGGTTGTTTGGAGCTGCTATGTTGCTAGTAGTAGCCGCTCTGGTGCACGTCAAATTGATAGGACTGGGGAGAGGGAAGATGTTGATGTGCAAGGTGTGCCGGGTGGGTTGATATGGCGGTGAATTCGGCTGTCGTGGGCACGCATGGGACCGTGTGGCAGTTCGCGTCTCCTCGCCCTCCGCCTTTGTCACGCTGCCGTCCTGTCCGCCTCACTCTCCGTGTCGATACGCTGCTGGGACGCGCGAGTGCTCGAAGCCAATCAACGCTGTCCCCACTCTGATTGGCTGGCGAGGTGGAGACAACGAAGGGCGCAGACACGCGCGGACAACACCTCGAAGGCGGACACATACAACTTGTCTGGAGAGCACGCTTGCGGCGACTGCCCACACAACCTTGGTGTACACGCTTTCCAAACAGTAAAGGTTGTCCCACTAATTCCGTCTTCCCTGACTTTTGATTGAGAATCTTTATCTTGTCGACCACACAACATACGACAACCGAATAAGCCCACGCGATGTGTAACTGCGCGTGGACACTGGAGTCGGACACGGCGAATGTATGTGGGCACTGTTAGGGGGCGCTCACCAATCGTTCTTACGGTACTCACTCGTTCCGTTGTGCCTTATGGACTCTCCCTCGAGCTCAACCAGCAGCCGCACAGTGGCGCATGATATAGGCATAGTGGCATTACTGAAAAGACAAGGGAGACTGGAATGGCCATTTCTGGTTTATTAGCCGTCGTCAGCCAGTCATACCCAACCCCGAAGCGTGGAACACCCGAGGCACTCCTGGCACTGGTGCGCCAGTCGCAATGCGATGGGTTTGCAAATGGTCGACCAGGGCGATGCATGAAGTTGATGTGCAATTGCAGTGGGGGGCAGGTTCAGGCGGAGTCCACCTCGCTGTCAGTAGGGACGTTGATAATCAGGCTGGTGGTTGACGAGGCGTCGGATATTCTCACTGGTGGCGAAATTGGGAGGACTGGTTGTTGTTGCCGTCCACACTGGGTCATGTCAGGGATCACGGTGGTGGCGGGGTATCGTGGGAAGAGCAGCCAACCGGAAGAGAGGGCATCGTTAGTCACTCGAGAAATGGCATACTACGAGGTTCACAATGCTACTCTCAGCGAGACCCGTTTCTCCGCACAAGACCAACTGACGGAGGTGAGTGCCGACTGCATCTTCTTCTGAAGTGGCCACCCTAAGGCAGAGAGGCGTGGCGAAGGCCTCGCCTTTGACATACGGAACATCGTGGGACGACTGCCCTGGCAGCTGCAGGGTGTCAACAACCAACTCATTACTACGAGTCTGCCTCTTCGGGGATTCAAACTAGCCAGCATCACCACTGTCCACACTCTCCCATAATAATAATAATAATAATAATAGGCTCCAGGAGGCGAAGATCACGTTCTACAAGAACCTGTACACCCATATAATGAATGTACCGAGGGCAGACAAACTGACTTTCGTTAGCGAATTCACTGTCAGCGTCGGGAAGGACCACGCTGCCTGGAGGGGCGTGCTGCGTCCCCGTGGAATCGGCCGCTGCAACGACAACGGCCTTCTCCTACGAACCTGTACGGAACACTGCCTCCTCCTGACCAACACCCGCTGCCTTCAGACGCGAAAGCATGTGACTTGGGTGAACTTCGGATCGGGGTGTCGGCAGCTACTCAACTACGTTCTCGTCCGAAAGCGAGATCGACAGGTCGAGCTGGTGACGAGGGTCATCTGCGACGTCAACAGCTGGACCGACCACCGCCTTGGTGTCTCTGTGATAAGGCTTTGACTACAACCGCGCAGACAATCACAAGATGAGCGACCATCGGGTGCGCTAAATACCGTTCTGTAGAGCTTGTCCGCTCACCCTCTCGAGTTCAGCAGTCGACTGACCCAGCGACTGGACGGCATGCAGACTATAGATGAAAATGCCACAGTGGCGGTGCCAACTGTAAAATGTTGCCCAATCTACAGCACTGGAGGTCCTCGAACACACAGGTCGTCAACAAGAGGACTGGTTTGACGACAACGACGCAGATGTGAGCATCCTACTCGCCGAAAACCACAGGCTGCACAAAGATTACATTAACCCTCGGACGGACACAATCAGTGCGGTCTTCTTCAGATGTCAGCCCCTTGTGCAGGATGCCTGGATGACTCTGAAGCCTGAGAAAATCCAGAGTTGTGCTGGCCGCAACGGAAAAAAGAATCTCTTCACGTCAATCAGAGCGGTATACGGATGCACACCTAAAGGAGCCGCGCCGCTTCTCAGTTCCAATAGGATAAATCGTCTCGGGGGTTAATCGCACATTTTGAAGCACAGCGCTGAGCACATCAGGACCATCCTCAACCGCCCATCTACGACCATGCCTATTACCCTAAACAACCTCGAACGTCATTATTTAACTTTTCTTTCTCAACTTATTTGCCCAGGGAATAAAGAAAATTCAGTGAGGCCAGCTGATAAAACGAGCAATCTCTCGCATGAGCATTGGAAAACTTGTTGTACAAGGCGGGCATCTACTGTTGGAATTTGGACGGAGAATTTCGTTTTTTTTCCGAACAAGTAGTATTGACAGAAAGGGAACTTGTAGTCAAATGACTGTGCGTCGACTTGTCGCGTCATCGAAATCTCCGTCTGTGTGCCGGCGCCCCTTACCGGGTGCTCTGTGATTAGGTTCTATCCAGCTTCTCCTTTTTTCGGTTTCGTTTGTCACCAACGTTGATCCAATAGAAAAAGTCGTCTATTTTTGTTAGTGTGTAGCTGTCCTTCGTAGGCTGATGATGAATGGTTGCGGTTTTCACGGTTCCGGAGTATGACACAAGGATGAACGAAGCACTCTGTCGAAAGTGGACAACTTCCGAACCCACCATACAAAAACAGGATTGTAACAATTTGGAAGGTCTGGCGCAACGGCGCTTTGGCGGCTATTTAATGATCTGAAAGTGGATTGGGGAATAATGCTTATCTCGAGCAACACAGAATATAACAATGCCTGCATTTAAAGGGATACTATCGTAATGGAAAGCGCTAGCTTTAAGTGTCCCCGAGGAATAAAACATCGACAGCCAATTGGGTGGAAGAATGGCCGAGAAGTACGTTAGGCCAGGCAGATAAAATCGGCTGAGCCCTGAATTCCCACCCCCCCCTTGCAAGGCGCTGATCGATCGGCACAGCGTGGGGACGGTAAGTAGATGCTGGGACAATAAGCAGGATTTTCGCTATCCCATGTTGCCCGGTATTCCCTAATGTGGACATTGACCTCCCTCCACATGTTGAAGTTGATTCCCTACAAAAGTATCACCAAAGCAAGAAGACTAAGAAACGTAAGGCTGAAGTTCGTGCCCTAGTAAATTTCCGTAGAGTATAACCAACGCAAAGATCGCATTTCTCCAAAAGAGCTACAAAGACGGGAGAGGCCGCTTCTGCTTTGTTTCTCTTCATCAGTCGGCCAAGTGCAACGCCCAGACCAAACTATTGAAGCCTGCTCAGTGAATCTTTGAGGCCAATCTCTGGCTCGGCGGGTTGTGGAGACCCACAGCAGGCTGATGACAGTAATGGGCAGAACTTCACAACCGTTTTGACGTGGGACCGCCTGAGACGGTTTTATGCCAGAACACAATGGCGAAACGGGACACGCCTATTCCCTCCTACAGCTGAACGCAACTCTCATGTGACTTCGATCGCATTTGTAGCAAATCGGGTTTGCACAACAACTCGCTTCCACGCTAACAGTAAAGATCCACCGACAAGCTAGCAGTATACGCAGAGTAGCAATAGAAACATTAAAGGGCAAAAAACTCATTGCGACCATAAGACACGCACGCAAAGAACCAGGGACGCCCAGGGTGCAGGCGAAAGGAGACACACATGCGTGTTCACTGGTGACTTTTTCGTGGCAAAGAAGGGCAGGGGAGAGTGGAAGAGGCGGAAGAGCATAATGCAATTTTCGATTGTGTGTCCAAGTGGCCATATCGTAGTCAGAGCGAACAGTTCTCACGACTGGACACGTGTAACGGGGACAGCATGAGGCCATAGCAGAAGCAAAAATCAGCAAAATAACTGAACGCAGCCTCCGCTGAGAAAAAAACTGAGCATAGGCGGCGAAGGAGTGTAGGGTTGCAGCCGTCTATAAAAGCCAAACTAACTAATATAAGATGCAAGGCATCAACAGACTTTGGAAAGGGGGAAGAGGACCTAAGAGTTACATTAGACAATGAACAGCCGCGGATAAGGCCCCATGACTCCAGTGGTCTGAAGTGTGCGTGTACGTGCGGAGAAACAATGTAGACGAACGTGAAATTGGTAAAGGCGTTGAGTGGGGGAGTGAGGTTATCGGCTGGGTGGAGAAAGCAGTGAGAAGGCTGGAGGCGAATTATGAGCGTCTGAGATGAGCCATAATTTAGGTAGCGGTACTAAAAGACGAGGTGGGGAGTGCAATCACCGAGCCAAAGTCGTAATGAGTTCTGTGCACAGCTCAAAGAACTCCATGGTCTGGTGACGAGTGGTCGGGCGGGGTGTGAGGGGTGCGGGGGACGGACTGGTGGCGCCGGCAGCTCCGCTGTTGTCGCCCCCGAAGGAGGTGTCCATGCCATGAGAGGATTCGGGAGCTGAATGTCCACCAAATATCGCCGACTGTGGACCCGCCGGCTGAGCGGCCCTGCCGCAGAAGGCGTCACCGCCACCCATGGGCGAGCCTGATTAAAGGAAATCCGAAAAATACGTTCCAAATTCACATTTCCGGAGATAGCAAGAGCGACTCGATTAGAGCAAGCGAAATTACTCGAAAGGAAAGAAAAGTGAATTTTGGGCGCTCGGTCTTGAGGCAGCACCGAAAAACTATGTGTAATGATCGGGTCTACGTTTGCCTTTTCCGATGATTGGTGCGATAGTTAATTTAAGAAAAATTTGTGTGGATAGTTCTATTTCCGAGTCGACTTCCTATCAATTACGTCCGGGAACGTGTTTTCAGTGTCGGTGGTATCCTTAGTCTTCCTGAATAAGCAGTACCAGCTCTAATAAAATAAATGGTACAGGCCTAATTGTAAGTGCGTAGAAGGTATCTTAACCTATGAAGAACCGTGTCGAGAAGCTTGATAGATCCACAAAACCGAAGATGACGACTGATTAACTTTTTCCATATTAGCACGAGTTTAATGTGTAAAAAATTCGTACTTTTCATAGAAAACGTCAAAAAATGTAGTAAGATCCATAATAGGACAATTACAAGCATCTCTCGACTTCCGGAAGTCATATCTTATATTGTGAAAGTGTGTATAGAGCTTACCAGAGCAACTGCTGTCGTAACAAACTGAAACATTTCCTGACCTTCTGCGTGTCAGCATGCCATCAGAGTCCGGTTTCGTGTCGTCAATGCATTTGAAGTCCAAAAGATATGAACGGGTGTCTACCTGCTCAGTGAAAGGGACCCGAAAGACGAGAAAAAACAGTCAGATGTGCTTATCAAACATATTGTAATTTAGCACCCATTGTGCGCCATATCATATTTGAAACACTCCAAAGTCCTAGTGCTAACCAAGGCTTACAAGTTAAGCAAAAATAGTATAGAAAAGCGTGCCCTTTGGTGGGGGACAAACCCCCGCATCCAGCATTCCGAGACTGCTTACTGTAATTTTTACTGTGTTTGCACTCCGTGCAGATGTCAAATTAAATGGAAACAACCCTAGATTTTGTATACGGGACCAAAGGCTAGGGGCTTTCGTAGTAATACCATAACTCGAGGTAGGAGATTCGTATCATAAAAAACATTATTAAACGGCGATACAAAATCATCCTTCGGATGGTCCGCAACAAGAAAACTTTTCAGACATCTTCATTATTGTAAGCTAACCTAAGATTACATCTTGTAATGCGCTTATCGATTTCGTTTAACTTCATTCAAATACTTGCGCAGACTAATTACGTATAAAATGTCTCTTGCCATGCATTGTTGAAATGTCCTCGTGAACTCATTCGGAAGACAACAAAGCCCGGTCTGGACGCTTACAAAAGGCTTAAAGCGTACCTTTGACTTTCAAAGTACACGCACTTACCAGACCTTGAAAGCTGTTTTCAAACATCCGCTGGGTATTCACGGACAACTAAACGCTACCTATTACGATAACTGCTGTAGACAAACCCGATGACGACACTAGGTTCGCCAGATAAGGAGCAGACAGAGTGAACGCGGTCCCACAAAATTAACACGAAGACTTAAATGAAAAGAAAACACTTCATGGCAAACGGACTGCACCGCGTTCTTGAGGGGCACTCCTTATGCTCAAAAAAACTAGTTAACAGATTCTGCACGAGTTATTCGCGTTCAGTTTGTATGACTCGCTATTCACTTTTATTTAATGAGGCTACTCTTATCCAATTAGTAGAGGTCTACAAATAACGAAAAACCGTAGTGCACTAGAACGGGTGTGACTCGGTAGACTAAAAAAAGGGCTGCAACATCTCCATAATCGGCACTTCCATAATACAACACGAAAATCCCGAGGAAGCTATGTGCTATGGAAATGCATAAAACCTGCTTGTGTAATTTTAAATTCAATAAACCGGAGACTCCGTTCAATTCGCCCATGACATGAGGGAAAACAATATCGCGCCTAGAAAAGTTCGAACTTTCCCACAGAGGCTTCAAGGAAACTAGACAACCCAGCCACATATTATCTCTTAGGGCTGGGTGGTCTTTGAAATGAACCCGATAACATGATGATCCCCTCCGATGTGCCTTCGTTTCCTTCTCCTACTGGTTGAAATTACCATGGGAAACCGTTCATAACAAACTCAATAACCGGTGAGACAATGATTAAATCCGCCCGAACGCAGAATAAATTAGGTAAGTTTGCCGGTCTAGCCAGCTAGACGTCCTACAAACCTGCCATAGACTAGGAGAGGCTGGACCGACGGAACAGGAACAAGAAGAAATAAACATTTGTGATAAAAGAGCGTTCACCGACTGAGTTACAGGACATGCTAGTCTGATTGCGGCTTGAGACTCAATCTAGAGCCCTTGCAGACAGTTGCACAGTGACCTGTAATTAGGTAGAAGGAGGTGTACCCACAAAAGTAAGACAGACCGGAGTGGACATCGACGGCACAAACGCACCCTACTAATAGATGCAAAAGGAAAGTGCCGACAAGGACAATGAAGGCTGGAATGGGCATTCTGGCTTACCAACCGTCGCCAGCCAACTTTACCCAATCACAAGCTTCCAAGACCTGAGATCCGAACCCGCGTTCTTCAGTCATCCAATTGTCCCTCTTTAATTTCCTCAGAAATTAACTGCTAACTTGGAGTAGACCAGTTTATACTAGGGCGCAGACCGAAATTTGATGCATGAATATTTGGGCCGAAGTTCATCAGCTACAGGGAAATGACCGCGTAATATTCATTAACTTCCGAACGGCAGCTAGTAGTATATTTTAGCGTTATAAGATACCATACCAGCAACAAAGGTACTAGGTAAAAGATTTTAGCAGTCCATTTCTGAGGAAATTGAAAAGCAACAGTTTCTAAACTGGAGTATCTAACAGAAAGCACATGGGGAATGCTGGGAGACCCCTTGATGAGCCGAACCCCTCGCAGCTG